TATTTTTATCGACAAAAAAGAGGTCAAAATTTTTTTGAGATTTTTTTAAAATTTTTTATACAATTTTTTTCTTCCAATTACTTATTGTAAAGAAAACGTAATAACTTTTAAACTAAGCGGTATATCCTGATAAAATAAAAACAGTAATAATGCTAAATAACAGGCAATACTAAAAAAATACATAAAATACACAAAAAAGGCCAACAAATGCTTAAAAATTCGTGTTTTTTTGGTTATTTGATAAATTTCTCCAAAAAATGCCCCTATAACTGGTGGTTTTTATTACTTTTTATTATTTTCTATCGTATTACCTTCGTAAAACCAAAAATCGCATGTCTCTATCCCTATCACAACGTTTGCAATGATCGTTTGAACTAAGCCTCTCCGAGCGCGCCATTCAACGCTTCGTTAACAACAAAACTGAAAATGGCTCTAGATTTGTAATTTTGATAAAGACAAGTTAGATTTCAAATAAAAACAAAAGATTTCGAAGTAAAATAANTAAATTACTATAAATTGAACATCTTGACCAAACACATGATGCTTGCGATTCCTGTTCGTAAACTTAGTATTTACTTTGTGAATGTAATATGTGTTGTTGTTAGTAAATAAATAACATGCATATTTGTGCGTAGCTATCTTGTTACTAGGCGGTAACAAATGTTTAAACATACTCTTACATACTTGTGATTATACGATGTAGGTTTCTTTAGGTTTTACATAATTACTTGATTTAGTGCTTAAAAGGTAAACGTGACTATTCCCACCTCTCGTTCCCACCGCTGCAACTTAAGTTGAGTAGCAGTGGCGGTTGCAAGCAAGCTGTAGACAGCTTATAAAAACCCAACCAGTGAAGGTCAAGTTTGTCGCGGGAAAAAGTTAAACTGGCATTAAACCCGCAAACAAAATTAATCAGAAGAATATAGGAGGAGTTCGCGAAGTTAAGGTTTGACTTAAAAGAAGATTAAGATATGCAATTAAACAGTTTTTTTATGCATTACAAGGCAGGTATTTGACCACAATCGCACCTGATGTTAAGTGGGATGCAGTCTAGGATGGTACATACCTGCCGTTATCTGTCTGAGTTATAACTAATTATACAATAGGTTTAACACCAAGGCCATCTTCTATTGTCAAACCAGGAATTGGGATTGGGAATTAAACCAAGAACGCCTTGCATTTAAAATCCTCGCTCTACACCGCCACTGGGTCATTCATTTTCAAAGTCTCCACATTCAAAGTATCCACATCTTCTATTGTTCAAGGCCTTATTAAAATAGCAATAATATTTTAACCGGTTTGGTCAATTTTTTATTCTATGTATGGTAATAAGATGACGGCTCACTTCACTAACCTCATCGCCTTTCAAAATGCATACAAGAATTTGCTATATTACTAAAATGCCTCTATGGTCCAGTGTTGGAATCTTTTGCCTCAGATATTCTTAAAACTCATTTATTTTAAAAGGCTTATAATATTAAGGCTTACACGTCCCAGAACACTATCCCTACCACTGCGGGACAATAAATGGGCCAGTGCTGAGAAAAAGCAGCGCAAGCGAGGCTAACCAGTGAAGGTCAAGTTTGTCCTGGGGAAAAGTTAAACTGTCATTGGACCCGCAACAAAATTAATCAGAAGAACATAGAACTTAGATACTTTAATATTTTTAACTAAACTGTTTTTTCAGATATTGTGTGCTAGATAATCTAGCTGGAAGGGGATGGCCATCTGCGAAGAAGTCAGTGGTAGGATCCGCTAAATAGGACGAGCCCTACAGCTCATATGCGACTGGGTGACGGAAAACAAAACGGTAAATAACCTAACCTAAAGGAAAACAAACTGCATCAACATCAGGGTCAAAAGCTTGCAACATTATTATTATTCATCATTTCCTAACTGATAGGAACAAGTTTAGTCATTCGGAATAAACATGTTAGACATCATGCGCTAGTAAAGTTTGACACTAGGGTCGTGACCCTACAACCTATTCGATAGAAGGTCACTAAAAAGGCTGCCAAGCGCCAAGTGGTTACCATTACTTGGAGAAAAGGAAGTGGGATTTATTGTATCGTGAAAGTAGGCTCTACGTAGGCTCTACTTAACCAGTTCCGGTGTTACAACATAATACGTAAAGGCTTTTATTCACTGGGTAATGATTGAGGCAAAATACATGTTACATTAATTTAATATGTATAAAGTTGCAGAACTCGAAAAATATCTATTTAAATAAGATTCACAATGTGTTGCTAAGCGCAAATTTTGCGACCGGGCCGATTCGGTTTTTTTTTCAAATATTCATTGAGTAGACAACATATTGTATTGTATGATCCGTTGCAATCCAAGATAATAAATCTATACTTATAATAAATCTGTAGAGAGGTCAATTCTGTACATGNGAACTCTATAATAAAACGACTTAAATGCATCGAGTTTGGGCTCGTTCGTTTTGTATTGATGAGTATTTTAATTCTATATAGTAATCAGGGTCTAATGATGAAGCTGGAAGGTAATTCGCAATCATCAACAGCAGCCCTTTACAGTCCACTGCTGGACTATGAGCCTCCTCCACTATAGTGGAGGGTTTTGCCATAATCTCCACGCTTGGCAGGCGGGTTGGAGATCGCAGTTTAAAAGATTGATGTTTTTCAGAGAGCGCTGCTGCCCATTCTCTGTTTGATGTGTAGTCCCTAAGTCGCCTCTTACGACACCCGTAATTCGCAATAAAACGACACAATCGCATCAAGTTTGGGTTTGGTTCAATTTTAATTCTGTGATAGGTCTGGGTGTTAATATGTATGATAAGTTTGTATTTACAAAAAAAAATGTATTTAAGTATGTTTATATCCGTTTTCTAGTGAGCGGACACTGTGAATGTAAGTACGTCACGCAGGGTCACGTGACCGTCGGCGGGACTCAATATTTAAGCGAACTTTGAATGCCTATAAAATCATAACAACTGGGTATTTTTGAATGAAATAAAAACTAATGTATTTGTAAATGTAAAAGCTTAACTGTAACATAGGTTTCAAGTGATTTTGCATACCTAGTAACATTCTCAATTCTGTACATGAAATATATTTTCAAAATAACTATCAGGGGGTGATTAGTGATCGATACTGATGCCAAAAATGCAATCAGTAAAATTTTTGTCTGTCTGTCTTTCTGTCTGTCTGTCTTTCTGTCTGTCTGTCTGTCTGTCTGTCTGTCTGTAACAAGGAATTCCCGAAATTCCCATAGGAATTAGCGGGAAAATCCTTTTGTATGAAAAATTTAAACCGCTTAAGTAGACCTGAAGTGATGCAGTGACCGCGCGCTCTCCGCCCTCTATCTCAAAAACGGTTCACCGCATAAAAAAAGTTTTTAAACAAAATTTGTAGAGAATTTAGTATTCTACAATATTGATAATATATACAAATAGCAAAAAACCCATAGGAAATGAGATATTTCTAAAAAAAGCGCAAAAAACCGATTTTTGTGACCGTTGACCTTGAAATTTAATAGTTGCTTACACCCTACCATATGTAGGTTTTGAGACAACTTTTAGGGTGTCAATATACACGTATTTACAGACTTACAGCTGGGTATCTAGAATTCCGAGGTGAACTTACTATAATGACTGGACTATTACGTTTTCTTTACAATAAGTAATTGGAAGAAATCAAAATCTATAAAAAATTTAAAAAAAATCTCAAAAAATTTTTGACCTCTTTTTTGTAGATAAAAACAGGTCTAGTTTTATCTATTTTCATATGTACACTTTCAGCAAAATAGGTAGCATGTGTTACAAAAACCATATTATTTAAAACAATGTAGAGCTTAAAACAAAATATGTAATTAAAAATTTAAATAATACACTCTCCCTTAAAAAACAAAAACATCGTTCGTATTCTGTCTGCTAAATGAAATCTATACTTATAATAAATCTGTAGAGAGGTCAATTCTGTACATGAAATATATTTTCAAAATAACTATCAGGGGGGGGTGATTAGTGATCGATACTGATGCCAAAAATGCAATCAGCAAAATTTTTGTCTGTCTGTCTTTCTGTCTGTCTGTCTGTCTGTCTGTATGTTCCTTATAGAAACAAAAACTACTAGACGGATTTTAATGAAACTTAGTACAATTATTCTTCATACTCCTGGGCAGGTTATAGTATAGGTACATAGGAATTCCCACGGGAACGGGAATTAGCGGGAAAGTCCTTTTGTATGAAAAATCTAAAACGCTTTTAAGTTAGACGCTTGAAATTTGGCATGCTAGACTTTTGAGAGTAAATTCAGGTTGATGCAACATGGTACAGACTCCCATAGTAAAATGGGCATTGTCCTTTAGCATGCAAGTACCTTAGTAAACTTAAAGCTTATTTACAACAGGATATTGCAAAATTCCCACGGGAACGGGAGTTAGCGGGAAAAAACATTTGTATGAAAAAATCTAAACCGCGTAAGATAGATGAAGGGGGAAAAACGGGATCCACGCGTACGAAGTCGCGGGCGGCCGCTAGTACTAAATAATTTACTGCATTCTTTAAAACAAATAAATATTGGTATCAACGATTCCAAAGAATTACCTGGAAATAATAATAAGTAACAAACTCTAGGAAATCATGTACGAGTAAAGATTTCATATTGCATTATTTCATTATTTCATATATTTCATTAGCTACACGTAAAGGTGTTATGTGTTCTGATTAATTACTACCCAGTCATATATTTTATCTTAAAGTGGTAGACAGCGGACGCATTTGACAAGTTTACTACTCATGCTTCGCCTTTCTTCAATGAAGCCTACAATATCATTAAAATCTAGAGGTAATAATAGTTTTGACCAAACTACCACCAACTAGAACATAAATACCTATTGTAAACTTATCAATCCTTTTGTGAGCAGTGTTCTCTTTAGTCTTTAAGGCGATAAAAACAAATGAAAAAAGGTGGCAAAAAAGGGTGTTATGGTGACAAAGCAAAGTAAGCGTTTGCCATAGAAGTGAATTTTCTTACGATAACTGTCCAATTCGGGCTCAAATGGTGGGGTGGGGTACTTTTTGCTCCTACCTGAAACAAAACAAAAAGTCAAGTTGAAAAGAGTTGAAAAATTTGCACGCCTCGTGATTCGAACCCACAATCAAGGCTAGCTTTATGGTCCAGTACATCAACCACAAGCCCAGGGTGTATCAATGCATATTCTTTCAGAAGCTCCAGACCAACGTGTACCGTCATAAAATTAAATAGCTGTCACAAATTAGTGTTAGGATTTATATTAATTTTAAGCATCCGATTTACAAAATTGGGATTCGTTTTTTTCCTGAAAACCCTAACAATATCAGAGGCACACAAGAAACCTAGTTCCAAAAGTCGGTCACCACCAGATAAACGTAGTCCAATTACGAAACCCCCTTTAAATGTTATCAGAGTTCTCAAAAAGTTTGCAACAATTTATTCCGAGACTGCAACGAAGGAGTGGGCCGCGGTAACGAAGTAAAAATAAATCCTACCAAAAACATTGCATGGAAAAAGTTACCAAGTTGTGAAAAAATATCGGATCTCATGTAGAGCCAAGCTTCTAACTCTACACTCCCTACCTCTCTAGTACTCTAACTACTATCTTAGTCATACTCATACCTATGTGGCATGGCCGTTTCGCTATCGTCACTTAAGCGTAAAATGTAAAACGTACTTATTCACTGTTCAATCTTCATTACTTTTCGTTAAACAATAGTTCTTGCAGTATCGAAACTTCCAAGTTACATATTATACCGGGTATAAAGCAAACCCAAGTTTTAAGGGTTTAAAAAACGACGAAACGCTTCGAGAAAAAGTAGATTACCTTGCCCTTGCATTTCGCTTGGCACTTCTTGGCGGGCGCACTCCCGTGCTCCCAGTTACACCGGAGCAAGGAACATCGAATGCGGCCTTTTGCATTTGTTAATTGCAGCAAGGAAAGGCTCTTTAGTAGAGTAAAGCTATGTAACTGGATAGTGCTACTTAATCTCCAAAGAGGGGTAAACATTTTGAATATACAGTGTTTTTCTTAAAAGCTGACTCATGTTTTTTCAGTCAGAGGGCTACGGAAACTGACTAGGCTTTTGGGGATTCCGATTGTTTGGGGTTTATCCTACAGTATCAGTAAACTATCATCATCAGTATCATTTTAGTCGATGACAGTCTACACTCTACAGCTGGACGTAAAAGGCACTATCTCTCGCTTTTTTCATTCAGTCCTTGCTTTGAGTGTGTTTCAGACATTTCAATTCATACTTATTTCAAAATTTCAAAACTTCCCAATTTTAATTTTACATTAATTAACCTTAATCCATCTGTTTTTAAATATTGTTAATGTTTTTAAAATGAGAGCCATGTTTTGGTTCATTGTAAGCTGTAGGCAGAGGCTAGGTACCTGGGTACCTGCTTGGCTTCCTGCCAAACTTGACACCCCATTTCTACCCCTATTTGTATGGCAGCGCGCGCCTTTGTTTCTTGGAGGCAGTATTCTTGGTTCTACTTATCTTTCGAAGCATCTTCTTTCCACGTGACCTTTATTGCTGGTCATTTATTTAAAAGGTCTTGTGTAACACAGATTTAGTTATATTTATCATTACGCCATTAGTGTAATAGATTCACAAAAAGGTTAACTTTTAAAATGACATACTACTCTCTTCTGTGTGCCTACCATGAGTTTACGTTATGTGAGCTCGCTAGCGAATACGTCAAAAAATTCTATGAAGATTTTATTTCTTGAAAGTAGCCGCTAGGGGCGCTGCTCAATATGTCATATATTTAAATGTCATTTTTTTACGCAGTCGCTAGCGAACACACCTAACGTAAACTCATGGTAGGCACACTGAGGCTTTTTCTGCAGCGTGTGTGTCGCGCATTCGAATCGCGATTGAAATGTCAATGAAAATGAGTCAAATGTATTGGCATTTCACCGCCTACAGAAGTGTCGGGTTTTCAAGTATCACCCTTTTGAGTTTTTTCCAAAAAAGCCAAAACCTTGGCTTGAAAAATAACAACAAACAAAATGTCTCAAACCATGGTTGAAAAAAGAAAAAAAATCTCAATTTTCAGCTTTGTTATGCTATAAAAATATACGTTGCTTTAAAAAGCAACGCAACCTGAAAGGTTGCGATAAAAGTAACGTCAATATTTAGCGTTAACCATTCGCGCGCGGCGAAACTGCAAAAATGGGGCGCCTAACGACGGGCTCACGATTCCTGCTTCTCGACTGCACCGATCCCGTAAGCGGCCGCCATTGTCAGCAGCCCGGATTACTTTGGAGATTGTCGGATGAATTTAATTTTACCAAACACATTATATTCTTAATTCTGTCAAACGGAATAATGAAAATTACATGCATTTACAAAATAACTTTCAAGATTTCTTGCCACAACAGCCAATACCTTTATGATGGCTCAATTTATCTGAAATCCTGAATATAATCTAAAAGAAAAACCAAATTCGGATAGTGACTTCTTTATAATTAATTATGCAAAAAACTCTAACCAACAATCTAAGCTCTATCCTTAGGCTCACTTAGCTCTACCCTTAGGCTCTTAAATAAAAAAGTATTTTAAAACATTTTTTATAAAAATTGCAATAAAAGTGACGTCACTATTTACAAAAATGGGGCGCCTAACGACAGGCTCACGATTCCCGCTTCTCGACTGCACCGATCCCGTAAGCGGCCGCCATTGTCAGCAGCCCGGATTACTTTGGAGATTGTCGGATGTTCAGCTTTCGCTAAAACGGGGCAGAAAAGTAGGTTTAAGTCCGAAATTAAAATAGAGCGACTGCAGTGATTGTAGCTGGTTTAAATAGGTTAAAGGTTAATGATTTGGTTAAACTATAGTGAATCTTTGCGGATCATGCAATCTTACAAACTGCTATATCTACCTAATCAATCTACACTTTTTGATATTTGGCCCGTCACAGAAACTTATTATGGTGTGGCTTTTGATCAAATATGATATGAATTTTCTTATTTCAATTTGAGAAAAGAGGACTTATCCGATTTCTTTTTAAAGGGGTTTAGTTTTTTTATACAACAAAGTTATGTCGAAATCTTATTTTACGGTCTTAAGAATTGGTTCAGCACTCAGCAGTTTAACCCTAAAAACTGAAAGATAATTATAATGAAAAGACGATAAGAAAAATCGCATCGAATAAAACTCCTGTCGTCACGTTAATAATTACTGCCCGTGAACTTAATAGTGCACTGGAATAAAGGGCCATAAATTTCGCTACAATGATGAGTTTCTCTAAATGTCAGACCGACAACTGGCATTTAGACCTTCAGGTTACCCCTGGGGATCTTGTAATTACCCTTGAAGTAGATCATAAAGAAGCGATGCTCTACTTTATGCGTTTATTTTTAAAAACGTGGCTTGTATCTATCATCAGGTCCATACCACGTCAATTTGCCTACTTATTTTTTTTGGTAAAAAACCCAAATGCTTCGAGTAACTAGAATATCTCCCATCTAGAATTTACCTACTTATTTTATCTTTTATTTTAATTCCGATCACGTTTTTTAAGTACCTACTTACTTCAAGTCTAACAAATAAAAGTAAAGACCGGTCTGTATTATGCCTTTTTCTAGTATTTGTTGATTATGCTATTTTTAAACTAAGTAGGTACCTACTTACTATGTATATTAATACTTTTTATTACAAGAAATCTAAAGTAATAATATTGTTATTAATAAATGAGTCCAAAATCCATCGGAAAAGGTTGTCCTAGGCAGCAATGAAACAATTAGTTTCCAACCAGTAGATTACTGAAAAGTAAAGATTGTAAAGAACAAACCTATCTTTTATTTACTAAATTGGAAAAGCAATTTTTGAATTCAAAAGGACGCTTTACATTCACAATTTAAAAAGCAACCGAGCATTCCAGTCGCATAATTGATAAAGGTTGCATTTATTCAATACAAAAGAGGGACGTCTGCAAAAACCCATTCAATGCTGAAAGCATTAAAAAGAGACAAGTTGTCCTGTTCTACTACTTGTATCTTTTTGTCAGCTGTTGCATTGCATCCTCAGTCCTTGGCGCATGCATTGACCGAGCCAAGGTGGGTCGGTTTATCAGTCCAATGACATTTAACTTTTTTCTCTAATTATATGGCGTCTAAATATGTCTCAGATTATACTAATAAGTAGTATACTACCTATTTTAGTGGAATTAAACTTGTATTAAAAGATGGCTTTTCGTTTTGGATCCCCAAAGAAATTCAAGAAGTAGTCAATATAATAGGTAATTTGGTTTTTTTGATTTTTTAGTTTCGTATTATTCTTTTCTATAAATCATTAATATTGTTAAACCGATAACTGTAATAGCCCCGATATAAGATTAAGATGTATCGAAATAATAATGTATTTGACATAATTTGACCTCATTAGGTAAATTATTTTTAGTAAAATGTTTCTATCATTTGGAATGTAGGTAATAAAATTTTATTGAATAATTTTTAGCTTATGCGATCTTTTTAATATTAGATAAAGTCATAATGTGTTTTAATGCGTTTTTATCTTTTTATCACTTACTCGTATCACTCTATTTGTGGATATCAAAAGTTCTTTTTTGAACCAATTTTACATACTAACTACATTTAAATTAAAATCAAACGTATATTTGTAAATAAAACAAAAATCTGCGTATAGTAATGAGCACCTTCCTAATAATAAGGTGAGAATGACAAAAACAGTCAGACAAAAACAATTATGTACGAGCATACCAACTACTTTTTATAAAAATTATAATAAAAATAAACTTTTTTAAAAACAAGCTTTTATTCTGAATTTCGAAAGTTTGTATCGCGCATGGAATTTATTCCTCTTTTTCTCTGTTTGCGCTACAAGCTTTCGAAATTCAGAATAAAAGCTTGTTTTTAAAAAAGTTTATTTTTATTATAATTTTATTTTACACTTTTTAGTTATATCTTAATCTCAGGACCCTGGACGTTATCTAACACTAAAGTGCTCGAAAAGACAAATCCAACGAACCCAAACTCGATGAGTTTCCGCCGTTTTGTTTAGGAGTTCCTATGGCCACCTCCCGACTCCATCATCAGACCAGCTCAATGGTACCATAATATTGCATTGTCATCGGACTTACACATGTATGCAAAATTTCAGCTCAATAGGAAACCGGGAAGTGGGTCAATTTTAAGTTGCAAGATTTTACGACAGACACCAGACATGTGAAAGTAATAAAAAGCTTGTACCTAATAAAAAAAAACATATTTGACTTTGAAGGTATACTATTTATACAACCTACGAATACTTAATACCTACTTAGTTGCAAATGATTCTAGCATTTAATAATTAAACGTTGGTAATTGTATTCATGAGCAGACCGGAGCTTATTTTTGCGTGAGTGAATATTAAACCCCTAAATAATTAAAGCATTACATAACGTCCATTGCAGTACACAGACCTCATCATCCTAACTGTGGGGTAGTTAATGCCATACTCTATCAAGCAGTTCCAGTGCGAGTTGGTGAAAATATTACCAAACTGCATTAAAGGTTCTGAGTAGGTTTGTACAAAGAACTACAAACGAAGACGGAGACAACGGAGACCATGGGAATCCTAAAGTGTCAAAGTGACATCCCAACCCAACGCTGTATAGTTCTGTGCGTGACTAGCTGCACAGAATAATAATAAGTAGCTGTGACAAAAATTGTGTAACACACACCAAGCTTACGAGACAGAATGAATATTTGCAGAAGGATGCAAAAATTTGTTTAATTAAGGCAAGTCAACAAGCAAACATAACTGTAGTGCCTACCAGTACATACGGTATGTCAAGTTTTCGCAATGCTAAGCTAAGCATAATATATGCCTTATTTTTATGCACATAAGGTTCTGTCACATGTGCAATATTTTACTATTTGACCGACTACAAAATATTTGAACAAACTGACATACTCGTAATATTTGAATTTCGAGTTATGATTTTGAGGCTTTAAACTGGCCGTGTGGTCACTATTGAGTCAGCAAATNAGGACGCGCCACCACTATTAGATTTTGGGTCTTTGAAAATTTTTTTAGTACATAAAATAACTACCTATTGGCCTGAAGACTTTGCTATCGTGTAAAACGCTGTATAAACTATATACAGAAAAAAAATCATCGCTCTAGTTACATTTCTCCCATCGATTCTCAGCTCCGCCGCGTAAAAAACGTGTTTGGGATATTCACCCAAATATGAAGGACCTTGGTCGCATAGATGAAGACAGGCCTATTCGTAATGTGTTACTATATCATTGTTTCAAAAAAGATATTATTGTCTGGAATCAGAGTAAGTTATTCTTGAGAGTTATGATTTTGTACATAGATTTAATTAATAAAAGCAAAGCTTCCGAATTTACTTCGTTTCTGTGAAAATATTTTAGGTGAATATGCTCAGTGCATTTCACAAAAGAATCCAAACCAAAATCATAAAAATCATCATCAAATTAAGTTAGTAGGTATTTCTATATGTGCAGGTGAAAGAATACGTGTGCCAATCAAGCTTCAGTATACCTTCGCCATAAATGGAGTCGATCTGCTCGCTCTCGACGCTCTGCAAGCCGTCATCTTCTGGATACTCCTGGGTCTCCGTCGTCTGCTCCTCCTCCAACGGCTGATTCATCACGCGTTTCTCTTGCACCATCTTCATCGGTATAATGTCCTGGATGGACGGCGGCCTCACGTACCCCTTCGAGAGACCCAGCTTCTTCTGAATGAAAGCCTCCAGGATCTGCTTGGTGATCTTGTTCTGGCGCGCCAGTTCGTGCACATCTGAGGAAGGAGAAAACAGATAAAAATGACTGCGCGAAAGAGTAGGACAAGAACAGACAGGGTCGACGTCATTTTTATCTGGTTCTCCCTACTCCCTATGCTTTTTATTGGGTCCTTTTAGCCTTTTTTGGCATCTGTGCTTGTGACTTCTTTCTAGTAAATTGACCAGTCAATCAAGACCTCTCTAGGTTCAGTAGAGTACTAGGAATTATTATTGTAAAATTATGTTCCCGAATAGCTTGCCTATCAAACAATGTAAAAAAATCATTTGTTTTTGTGTCCGTACTCCGTAGATTCACGGATGAAAGTTTCAATAACTGAAACTCGTTTAATAGCTGCCAAGACTGATTCTGTAATATAGTAAGGTCTTTTCAGTGGACCTTCAAAAACATCATCAATACACATTACGTAGGTACCTATTCTAATCTAAACCATACGATATGCCCCATCAGAAACACAAAGCAAGTTTCTTCCTTGCCCCATTGTAAGCAATTGTTGGCAATGGCATCTATTATGGAAACAATGGGATCGCTATCTACATTCGGTGAATGTGCGGAAGTTTTGCGAATAATTATAGGGCACCCATCTTGTAGGGACGCTGGATGTACACGGATTCCTTTGCCCTTGCTTTGTAAAAAAAAACAATATTTAACATGGCTGACTGCGCGGGAATTCAAGGATTTACTGAGCACAAAAAATATAGACTTAAACACACACCAATAAAGCTCATAGTTCTGTTTTATTAGGTTGTATAAGTAAGTATCTTTTGAAAATACGAGATTAAAATTACATTAATGCAACGTGCAAATGTGATTAAGTAGGTATTATGTTTCTGTCTAGTTAAAGGATTCCAGACATACATTTAATTAATGCCTTAAATAATTTTAGAATTCCTTCAACCTTAAGTTATCCTTTCCAATAAGGTTTGGTTTAATTATGTAATTTCGTTCGTTCGTTCGTTCGTTTCAGCCGAAAGACGTCCACTGCTGGACAAAGGCCTCCGCCAAGGATTTCCACAAAGACCGGTCCTGCGCCGCTTGCATCCAGGTACTTCCCGCGACCTTCACCAGATCGTCGGTCCACATAGTGGGAGGCCTGCCCACGCTACGTCTTCCAGCTCGTGGTCGCCACTCAAGAACTTTCCTGCCCCAGCGGCCATCAGCTCTTCGAGCTATGTCACTGCCACTTGATTTTAGCGATTCTGCGGGCTATGTCAGTCACTCTGGTTCTCCTACGGATCTCCTCATTTCTGATTCGATCACGCAGGGAAACTCCGAGCATAGCACGCTCCATCGCTCTTTGGGTGACCTTGAGCCTTCTTATGAGGCCCATAGTAAGCGACCACGTCTCAGAGCCATCCACCACCACTGGCAACACACACTGGTCAAACACTTTTGACTTGAGACACTGCGGTATTTCGGACGTGAGAATTTCGCGAAGCTTCCCGAACGCTGCCCAGCCGAGTTGGATTCGACGATTAACCTCTTTCTCGAAGTTGGACCTACCTAACTGGACTGTTTGTCCAAGGTATACATAATTGTCAACAACTTCGAGTATAGTGTATGTAATTTATTAACATCTTTTAAATCTAGATAGTGAAATAAAATTCAATCACATTTTAAACCCGAAATTATTAGATAGTTTCCTACTACTAACCCAAGTTAAACTTAGTTTTAGAATATTTCAAAGTACATATTATATTTCTATGTTGATATTACTGTAACAAATCGCAAAAGAAAAAATGTCTAGAGGCGTGTTTCTTTGGCCAGAACAAATTGAAAAGATAGCAAAAAGTTAAAGTTATGACAACCAAAATGAAATGGTGTTGTCACGCTCGGCTTTCCTTTGCAGTAAAAAATGGAATTCAATAGAGTAAAGTATCTCTACGAGGATTTTTACGGACAACGGAATATCAAGCTAAACGCTGTGGTGTGTATCTTATGCATTTTTAAATAAGGTGCTATTTTGCATCGAAATGTTCCCCTACAAGTTATTTTTCACGACACAACGCAAATCTGGACTGGGGGCACAGCAGTGCCCCCACCAAGTCGAGCAAAAAAGCGGCACGGCCGTACCATCCTTTTCTCGAAGCAATTCAGGCCATTTTCGACCGCCTGTAACTTCGTTGTGGATAATACTAGAAGGCTGAATTTTCATTAGCTATGCAGGTATTGTAAAGACACGGTATATTTAAAATTTCATTAAATTTTAACTAGTAGTTTAAGAATTATAACGGGTCAAAGTTACTTAATTTTGTCACTCACTGACTCACTGACTCACCGATCATCAAAATTCTAAGGCACTTCTAGCAGACCTAGAAGCTTCAAAGGAGATCATTCAGGCTTCATACATTTTTGGGCCTTTTTTGAAAGTGCCGGCCAACAAAAAAAAATGGTGCGTATTATTAGAACTAGCTATTTGGAGCAATAGTTAATATGGCATAAAAGTTGTAGGACCGCGCTGAACCAAGTTATACAAGTTCGATGATTCATCATTTTCATGCATTTATTGATTTTTGAAAGTGCAGAGAATCATAAATAATGATTATTGATATTGATAGAACTAGTTATTTGAAGCATCTGTCATTATAGTGCGAAAGTGTGGGTTCATTGTCTGTTCAGTTATTTAAGTGACAAAAAAGTAGTTTTCATGTTACTTCATTTTCCACCAGTTCATCCATTATAATCTGAGCAATATTTATAAAACCTTCCTCTCACGAAGCCCAGGTGTATCTACGCCGTGTACCAATATCTCCACGACAGCTTATACACAAATGATTAGCCACTTCACACAACAAACGGAATCTGAGTCGAATATTCACATATAGTCCGGTCGCCGAGCACGTAGAAGTTTGGCCAATGACCCCAAGCTACCCATCCTTATCGCTCGCACGTAATTATACCTATTGCTGTCGCGATTGTGCGACGGGCGGCCGCAGTGAGTGTGCGAGCGCGACAGCAACATAGATTCGTGCGAGCGAAAAAGATGGATAGCTTGGGGTCATTGGACGAAATTCTACGTACTCGGCGACCGGGCTTTAACAATGATGTTTAACGATAACGCAAGCAGGTAGCCGTTTGATGTAACGCGAGTCGCATGGATAACTGGATGACCTTCACTTCAGTTTTCAATGTCCCCGTCTCATTCACTGACGGGTATGCTCCGAGCCATCCTATTGGCTGGCATGTTTGCTCGTTTCTTCCCGGCCACAGCGACACTGCTAGCGCGGGCCACGGATGTATCTTTTTCGTTTCGTCATCGCGTCATTTGATCGCTAACTTAGAGCGGTCGGTTGATAATTGTTTTGGATCATGAGTTTCTAACAAAACATATATGTAATTATTTTCAAGTTTGCCAACACTTTAAAAGTCAATAAATGTATGAAAATGATGAATCATCGAACTTGTATGACTTTGTTCTGAGTGGTCCTACAACTTTTGTGCCATATTAACTATTGCTCCAAATAGATAGTTCTAACAATACGTACCATATTTTTTTGTTGACCGGCACTTTTAGAAAAGGCCCAAAAAGAATGATGTCCTTTGGAATATAAGTAGTGTTTGGTGTATGAATCAAGGAAAAACTAAAATATTTGGGGGCACGGTAGTGCAACCGCCAAGTCGAGTAAAATTTTTCAATTTCGGTCCAGTTTTCTAGATACATAACTGCTGTCTACAAAATAAAAAAGAAATGAGATCCTATCAAAAACAATACTTGTCAAAAAAAACAAGTCTCGCAACTCAGTTGTTCTACGGTATGAAAACACGTGTAAATTAAATTATTTAGTGCGATGGCCAAGTCAATATATTTATGTAAAACGTTAAAGATTTCCTGGCCTGGACTTGGTATTACATGGATCTCACAACTTTTTACCGTAGAACAACTGAGTTGCGAGACTTGGTTTTTTTGACAAGTATTGTTTTGACGGGATTAACATTTTTCCTCTGATTATACTTTTGACGGTAAAATCATTTTTTATTTAAAAATAAATGTTTTAAGGCTCTATCTATAACAGTCTGGGTGAGGTTCAGATATTTTTATATTATTATTCCATTTTCCAACAGTTTGATTGATGTGCACAAATGTGTACAAAAAGTGTTTGGTGTCCACTGAGAATCGAATCTAAAACCTCTGAGAGAGTCAATAATTTTTTTTATGCAAGACAAGGCATCGCACGGTTGGTATCGGTTGATATTGCATCCAGCGCCTTCCTGCTACCTTTATCAGGTCGTCGGTCCACCTTGTGGGTGGACGTCTCACGCTGCGATATCCGGACGTGGCCTCCACTCCAGAACCTTGCTGCCCCATCGGCCGTTAGTTCTGCGTACTATGTGCCCTGCCCATTGCCACTTCAGCTTGCTAATCCGTCGGGTCATTGGGGGAGGCCTATGTTCAGCAGTGGACGTCCTATGGCTGAAATGATGGTGATGAGACAAGGTGTTAGACTGCAATCACACCTGGTGTTAAGTGAGATGCAATCTAGGATGATAGGACATTTTTATTTAAAACTGAACCTCAAAGGCGCGTAGGCGTTAAGTTAAATAAAATCTTAAAAAAATATTTTATTACTGCAAAGAGAGTGTCTTGCGTGTTTCATTCACATTATAGGACACCTATTGTGCCTTAAGTACTGCAGTTTACTACACCAGATACTTATCGAGTGAAATATTAACCGTAAATAACTGATTAACTCGATTTAAAAGAATACTTTTTCAAGAAATCGATCCTTGAACGCGTCAATAATCCACTGTAGAGAATTATTGTAATTTAAAATCTTTTATTGCACTCTCGATACAACTACATAATCGTAAATACTTCATACAGCAGAAAGCATGTCGTTAATTTGTCGTAATTGAATTGTCTCGTTCGTTTCCGTGAAGTATTATTTACTGCATATTACTACAACTTCTTCCGTAGTGATGAGAAATAAGTATATACTTAATCGATTCGTAATCTTGTTTTATGGGAGATTTCTTTAGGTCATAATAAATAACGGTATC